TTTGTCTTGTAACCAGGCTAAAGTCTGAATTGTTTTAATCCAAAGGAAGAGCAGCACAGTTCCTGACAGTGTTGCCACATCAGTATTGACCAAAAACAGACCAAGTCCAGTAATACAGGTCACAGTGAAACAGACTGAAACAGACCCTGGACTGATTGGAGTGAGTAATACTTTCAAGATGTACTATAATTATTTATACTTGAAAAAAAAGTATTGTTGCAGAAAATGTTAATGGTAATTAGTGTAACAGCAGCTCTTTGAATGCAGATCTTGCACAAATCTAGCTGTGAATATTGTTATGTATAAATAATGTATTTTTTGTGTTTTAAATAATAATATCATTTTTCTGGTTAACCTGCTTTTCAAAACTGTGAAGGAGTGTCCAAAATCCGAGGAGCTGAAAAACATAGAGGGTATGTACCAGCTTTAATTATAGCACTGGCCTGGTTTCACTGCAGTGGAAGAGATCCTCACAAATCTGGGAACATGCTGTGCAGAAACACTACTGTAAGTTTCAGTCACAGAGCCTAGCATATGAACTGAGGGAAAACTTGACTACTCTCTATCTTGCCTCAGTCACACTGAGTGTGACATCCTGCCAGGACCTCTCAAAAAAAGCTGTCAGACAGCTTTGCATAAACACAGCTTTACACTTACATTGTGAGGGTCTCTGACTGCATCTAAAAAACAGACATTTCAGAATATTTTATTGAATTTCAATTGTTTATTTCATATAATTTTATAAAATACATTTAAAAAAATTATGTAGCCTAATGTTGGTCAGCACTGGAAAAAAAAAATTGCGGGATGAATACGTGTATCATTACACCCTTAATTACTATCTAATCAAATGTCAAGGAAGAAAAAATTGGTGTATCATGGTTTTTGACATAAACCAACAGGATTCAGCATCCAGTAGCTAATTCATTTCAAATCTATCATAAACCATTTGTCCATCTGACATTTTAAATATGCTGTTTGTATACTGACTGACATTTACAGGTCAGAGTGATGCTGTCTGTAATGAACGGTCTTGGCCAGACGTGGAGGAGAGACTCACCCCTGAGGATGTGTTCAGTCCCAACACTGACCAGTCTGCCCCACTCCTGCAGGGAGAGCAGATTCCTTCATCCCACAGAGACAAAGCTGACAATGATCTTCCGCCTTCCCCTGTGAATGAAGCGGACAGTTTAGAGGAGAAAGACAAACCCCCCACTGACCCCAACAACAATAATACCTCTCTAGAAATCACACAAGATGCCGACGATGGAGAAAGACCTGAGGAGAATTATTGCTCGGATGAAATTGCTGTGGTGCTGGTTGACAACTCGAGTCCCTTGTCCCACCTGGACGAGAGTGATACGGTGAAGATCATTATCACAATGAGCTGTGACCCACAGACAGCAGCTGAGCTGGAGGAGTCTGTTAAACTGAGCATCTTAGAGTCAGCTCAGTCCCACCAGGGAGAATCCGACTGTCCTGTCAAAATTCCTGTCATCACCTTTGATTCGCCTCACGAACTGGAGGAACCCTCTGCCGATGATGAGAAAGAAGATACGCCGGTTCCAGAAGACAACTCGGTTCAGGAGAAGTCCGAGCATCAAGACAGTCTTCTTGCCAAAGAGCCAATCAGTTCTGACTCTGCTCAAGAATGCAAAGAAATAGAGAGCAATGAGCATGAGATACCCAACCTGAGCCCCCAACTGACCAATAACAGCTCTTCAGGCATTGATGTCAACTCCCATCCTGATGAAAACGACCCTCCTGAGCTTAAACTGGATGCTGATGGATTCTTGCAAATTCCATCAGCATATATGAGATGTACTCAGAGTGGAAGAACACATGCTAGGGGACTCAGTATCGACAGTGGACGAGATGCTGTCCTCATTAGCCATAGAGCTAAAGATAAGCTCAGTACAATGACCTCCTCTAAATCTGACCTAGAAGCCAAGGAGGGACAGATACCCAATGAGTCCAACTTTGTTGAGTTTGTGTCTTTGCTGGAGTCTATCAACAACACCAGATTTGGGGGTGGAAATGAGGCTGAGGAGGAGAAGGAAGAGAGAAATGGTGAGTGTTGATTAATGCATGAGACTGCATTGAATATCTTTGCTTAAATTAATGGTCTAACTCTTTTCAGAGCAAAGCATGACAGCGGAGAATAACTCTGACGTGTCAGAATCCACAGAACAACAACAGGAGCGTCCAAATCCCCCAAACAGTCTGGCTACAGATACAATGAAAACTATTCCAGGGACTCTCATTCCTATTGTCTCTCCAGAAAGGTGGGTAAACTATAAATCTGAACATAAGCATATTTACATACACTATATAGACAACAGATAAAAATAAATAAATAATGATTTTATATATATATATTAGTGCTGGGCAACGATTAAAAAATTTAATCGCGATTAATCGCATGATTTTCTTCCGATTAATCGCGATTAATCGCATTGTTACGCGGAAAATTGAATAATGAATTCTAGTAGTGTATTGA